CAACATTTACATTTTATGTTATAAGAATAACAGTGAGAAAATGAAGAAATAGTAATTAAAAATTTGCTTTTAAAATAGTGAAAATAAATATTATATTAATAACTATTGTTGTTTTTGCTAAATAAACAATTTGTAATTTTTGTTCATTTCTTTTAAACGGCAAACATCCCAACCCCAGTTGCTTTAAATACACTTACTACAGCTGTAGCTTTTAAGTTACTACTCGCGCTGTCTCTGCTCGCACGCTCGTGCCAAATAATTTTTTTGATTCGGTACTTCTCAGAGTACTACATTTTATTACATTTAGTATTACTTCTAATATATTTGAAAATTTATTCTTTATAAGAACGTATTTATGATGGACCTTTCATATATTTGAACAACTCGTAGTAATTCTCAGCACTTACGGCCATAATAGTACGCTTTTCTATTTGCTCGAACGCTAAGATATATAGTTCTGATGTCTAATGGTAATAGGAGGGATTATATTCTTTATTTGTCTCAGGAAGTGTCAAGATGTCTTACTGCTTTTTGCATTTTTAGGAAAAGATGTTTGCTACATCACCAAGCGATCCTTCCGCCGCTAATGTACATTCTTTCAACGATGGTCTCGATTTCCTGAATGCTTTGTCACCTATTCCCGACGATCAAGGCCAATGCTTTGATCCTATTCCGCCTATCACTGATTCCAAACCCGATCCTGATCCCTCTGCCGCTGCTATTGCTGAACCAGAAAAGGCTATAAATTTAAGTACCAGTAATGTTGTCGTCATGGCAAACATGCGATGTCATCTTGTCCTTAAGGATATCGCCAGGAGAGGTATTGATGTTGAATACAAAGCCGCGAAAAATGTAAGCTTATCACACTCGTACCTTTCTGTTTGCCTTCTTATCGAATAGGCTGGATATCAAGCATTCTATTAAAGTAGTGAAATTTTAAGAAAATACAGTTTTAAAAATCTTACCGTAGTTTTGCGCTGTACGGTCCTGTCGCTCCCTCACTCGTATCTAAGCTGCGCCTTTCGCTAGCGAAAGCTGCAATTTTTGCTGCCATCCCATTGGCTGTTGCTAGCTCACACGTTACTCAAGTAGCCAATCCCTTTAAAACTCATGAGTGCACTTTACCAAGCGCCAATTCGCTTCACACTCTGAAATACATGCAATTTTACTGCACCATAGCCATTATTTCAACTCTTTACATCATGTTGTTGTTTTATCGCTTTTTCAAAATTTCAGCATGTTATTATGCGGCTGCGGAGACCCTACATTGTTGCTACAATTTGGTCTAGTGGCAAGATATGGTGCACCGGTGCCTCTTCGTAAGTTTCTACTCAGTGATTTAAAAGCAAAATAATTTTGTTTTCCTCACTAAAGCTTACACGTGCCCCATATTAATCATTTATTAGTTGTTTTGCTCGAATTACTACCTGCCTAAGAGAACCCACAAAAGGACAGGGACATTTTTTATTACCCCTTTATTACTTTTTTTCAAAACAGCATATCCAAGGCAAAAAAAGGTGCCCGTCGGATAGCTAGGCGACTTGTGAAGATGGGTTATGCCTGCCGGTTCAGTAATTATCGCATTCTCAACGTTATGGCGAAATGTCGACTCCCCTTCCGTGTCCGCCTGGACTCCCTCTCTAAAACTCGACCAAGACAAATGTCATATGAACCTGAATTGACACCAGGCTTAACATTCAAGATCCCAGAGACCCCCAGTCTTTCTTTAACTCTCTTCTCTACTGGCCGATTGGTTATCATGGGTAATTTACATTTTATCTAAGGGATTGGTTGGAGTGAAGTACTAACATCTTTCTCATTCCAGGGAGTTCTCTCGAGGACATAACCAATGCTGTTGAGGAGCTAGTTTCTCTTGCTTGCCTTCATCAGTCGGATGAAGCCCCTTCCGATTCTTCTGATGATGAATGTGCGTCAGCATGCTCAGGTGATAAAAATAGTCAAAGACGTCAGTACTATCGTCGTAGACGCGGTCGATCACGTCGTATGAGTGCCTTCACTGAAATGGCCGCACAAGAAATTCCTGAATTGGCCGATGTCTTCTTTGAAGAGCTTGAAGCGGAGGAATTGGAAGAACAGGAGGCATTGTCTGTCGTCGGTTTAAGCGAAGAGGGGAATAAGCGTGCGGGTAGTGAAGAGAAGACCGGTGTGAGCCAAAACGTTGCTGCTGTTGCTCCAGAACCTACTCCCCCTACTCCACGTGACCTAGATAATGTGAGAAGTGGTCCCAAAAAGCTGCCAAGGATCATCACTTATGATCAACAGTTGCAGCAAGAGTCCTCTTGCGTATCCACAACTCCTCAAGCTACTCAATTTATCTACGCTACTACTCCTGGAAGTAATCAAGTGGTTCGATATATCGCTGCTCCTGGATCACAGATTGCGAATTCGACTTTCACTCAACAACAGCCGCAACAAACTAAAATCGTGTGTGGTGTCCAGCCGCAGCCGACAACAAATGTCGTTAGAATTGTCTCTCCAATGCAGGTTACTAACCAGTCCCAACAACCTCAGAGGTTTATTATCAATAGACTGCCAGCAGGAACAACTATTCTCAATCCCAATACCACTTTCTTGATGACAAGTGGGAATCAGCTAATATTGAACGGGCAGCCCACACAAATATTTCGAACAATTGCGCCAAGTAATACAGTTACGGTCAATACAAACCCTTCCACATCCACCTCTGTTAATAATCCCGATTTATCCCCTAATTCAGGCTCGTATCATTGAGGGAGAAACTGCCTGTTTAGCGTGCTTTCCCTCTCCCTCTCTCTTCTGTGCATTTACCTTCATCCCCCTCCCTTTGTTTTTTTTTCTCGCTACCGCTAAGTTAACACCATCTCTTCCCTTCTCCTTGTCTTTCTTGTATGAGTTCAGGAAGAAGTCTGTGTTCTCTTCAAAAACGAAGATGTACTATCAACTTTTCTCCTTTACGTGGGTATTTGCGCATATAACTAGATTTTTATTGCATTTCTCTATCTGTTTTTTTTGTTGAGGAGATGCTGTTGAAAATGCTCTTATTTCTTCTACCACTCCTCCGAAAATTCAATCCTCGCATCGCAAACTTTTATCCTGAACTCATTTCTCTCTTCTTTATGTAAACAAAATCTTTTTTATGGAGAAAATGTAAGTAATTGCAGGAAAAGCATGTGTTCGGTGCTTTCGGTGGGATTGAACTGTTGTCTTCGTTGGTTGCTGATTAACACTGGATTTATTACGAATACTATTAATGGTTTAAATGGATTTTGGCAGACTATTGAGCAAGTTAGACTGATCGGCATCGATCTAGGTGTCCACGATAGTTGTTGAGATGGCATTCTAGATTTGGGCTAACATGTTAAGAAAAAACTTCAATCGAAATAGTGGGAGGATGCCTCAGTCATGGCTGAACGACGGGACCTCGCGCGAACTCAGGCTCGAAGGTGCGCCGTGCTACTTGTCACGTCGGAGCAAGTACGGTCTAAAATGGGGGATCCTGTAATAGAGAGATAACTATGCATAAGTCAAGGTGTCTTAGCGCTACACTCCTAAATAGTCAGTTGTGGTTAACTTAGAGCAATATCGTTTCTATTTAGATTGGTTTAACTTTAATCAGTTATTAACGAGTAACGATGACCTAATGCGAACATATAAAACTCAATCATGACATGGTGTACTTTTAGTAATTTGGAGCATTTGTTGATTAAGTTTTAACTAGCACTGGAGGTCACAGCTTTTATAACATATATTCATTTACGATTTAATTAATTTATGATACTTAATTGTTGACCCTATCATCGTGTACGCAAAAAAGGCATTTTAGTGATCAGACATTGCACTACCAATTGTTTAAATTTCGGAAGGGTGAAGCGAAGTTTCCAGAAGACATATGGAGTTTTCTCTTGAGACCGCGATTTCAGATGATGGCTAACATATTGCGCTTTGTATTCTAAATTGAAAGTGTTTCCACTTAAAGAACCTTTCGATAAGACGTATTTTAAAAGCAGGTAGCGTATGCACGACGCACTGAGGTGCTGTGTCTTCGACAAAATTTATGAGACTGTTGTTGAGTATTAACTTCATCTGGACAGAAACATTGTTTGAGTTATGTTTGAGTAAAGTTATTCCATAGAAAGGTTTAAGCATAACGATGTATTTCAACATTTGAGAAAACGAACTAAAATCATAGGGAAACCTAACTGAATGAGGGGCAGATCAGTCACTTATAACAACTGTCTGCAGGTTTACAAGGAGTGCAAGTCATTTCTGCGTTCCATTCAGAGCATATTCGCAATATAACCAACTTAAATTAATTTCACAAACATATACACAAATCTCCATCAATTACTACTCCATATTTTTCTTGTCCAATCCAAATAAGTGAATTGAAGTGATTGTCAACTGTCTTGGAGCAAATGAAATTATTTAGGATGTGATGCATTACATTAAAGTAGTGAATTTCGCTTAAATTTTTACTAATGCAGGTATGGGTCATTAACTGATAATGCATTAGACAAGACAACAAGTACTCACAGAAACTGTCTTTCTAAAAAGGAGCATGGTTTGATTATATTTGATGCTCACTTAAATGAATAATCTCTGGGCGTTGACTAATAAGATAACCAAAGGCCAATGATTTATTTAATTTGTCTCACTAACATAACAAATATATTTCCAGGCAATTTAAACTGATTTCTTACTGAACATATGAATGAATTTAGCTTAAGCATTTCTTTTTTCGAAAATCGAGTTTACCGTATTATTCATCTGAGTGTTAATTTAAACCTCTTGAAGTACCCTATCGAAATAAATAAGGCCAGTTGTCATTTGTGTTTCATTACACAGTTCGAAGAGCAAATAATTCCAAACTTAACGAAAATGAGTCATTATGATAAAGTTGACCTTTAGAGCAATGAAGACTAAAAAGTAGATAAAAATGGTTGTTAAAGAATTTATCAACGCTACATACTAAGTAATTATAGTTGTACTCGTTGAAATATACCGGAAAAAATTAAACAAATCTGGAAACTAGATGGGTAAATGTGGAAAAAAACAAGTATATGAAAATGTGATACAAGCATAAAATAATTCAAGTGAATTTCAATGAATTAGAAATAAATTTGGCTCATTATAACGTGAACCGATATTTTAGATGAGGAAATCATCATCAGTAAACTTTTGCCATAGGGAATTAACATGATATTTTTAAGTTAAATTTCTGTTAAAATGTGCTCCTGAGAAAAATTTTCCAAATATTCCGCATGTTTTTTTCTTATAAAGGAGGAAATGATAAAAGTGAACATGAACCCTTAATAACGATATCGTCTTTTGAATAATAGTTAGCATGTAAACCCTAATTCATTCATTTCCATACCTATCTAGCACAAGGTGTGATATGAGATATTATTTATTTGTGATTCCGGTACAAATTATTTCTAGAGTCTTCGGTTAATTGTGATTAACAAAATTGCTTTCCAATATGTGTCACCGAAAGAGTTTAGATTTACCAATGCCTTGTGTATATGTTTATTAAATCAATGCTTATGTTGGGCAGTAAATCGATTATTCACCATACCAAGAGAGAGAGAGAGTTTAGGTTTAATGTCAATGAGAAAAATAAGACAATTGTGCATCCAAGTGGTCAATAATATTATTTTTTTAGGGAATTACTAAAATATCAACAGATTTCTTTAGCATTATGTGAATAACTGTAACACGCATTAATGTGGGAATACGTGTTTTATTGATTTTTTTATAAAACAAAAAATATGGTAAGTTAAAATAAAGTAAAAAACTAATGAAATTGCTTTTTAAATTATATCTAGAATAAACACATTTTTACCAATAAAAACTCCTATTAACTAAAATGGCACTCGACCTTTAGCCAGACTAGCTGTCGTCATTAAGTTAGGTCGGTTTCGTGCAGTTGGCAGGGTTTAATGTTTGATTAGGGTATCATTACCCATTTATTTTTTATATTACATTATGTTATATCAATTGTTTCCTCGTTTTTTCATTTCTTGCATTTAGTTATTTTCACGTGTTATTAATCCAAGCCCACGTATCGCTTTTAGACTCATGGAGACAGCATTTGCGAATATGAAACTCGAGAAGCAGATGGATAATGAGACCTTCTATGGCTATGTCCATGCTGTCTCAGGTCCTGTCGTTATTGCTGCTCAAATGTCGGGTTCCGCTATGTACGAGCTGGTTCGCGTCGGTCATGACAATCTCGTCGGTGAAATTATCCGTCTTGAAGGTGACACGGCCACGATCCAAGTCTATGAAGATACCTGTTAGTTAGACTTCTTTCATCTCTTTTAATATACGACTACTTATCTCATTTATTGCATATCTCTAATTAAGCTGGTGTTACCGTTGGTGACCCTGTACTTAAAACCGGCAAACCACTTTCCGTGGAATTGGGCCCGGGTATCTTGGGAAGTATCTTCGACGGTATCCAGCGTCCCCTTCAAGCTATTCGTGATTTTACCCAATCAATCTACATTCCAAAGGGTATAGATGCCCCCTGCTTAGACCGAAAAAAGGCCTGGGAGTTCACACCCAACCCTGCTATTCGACCAGGGATGCATATTACCGGTGGTGATATCTATGGATCTGTGGTCGAGAATAGCCTAATCGAGCACCGACTTATGTTACCCCCCAAAGCTATGGGTACTGTCAAATGGATTGCACCGGCCGGAAGTTATACTATTTTGGTCCGTTTAGTTTCTTATTGAAAATACCGCGATTAGATTTGCTCGATGGAGTTTAGAGTGGCTTTTTTCATCTCTAGGATAAAGTCTTGGAGACTGATTACGAAGGAAATATAACTGAACACTCGATGTTGCAAATTTGGCCTGTTCGTCAGCCACGACCTGTTGCCGATAAACTTCCGGCCAATTTCCCTCTTTTTACTGGCCAGCGCGTGCTTGACACTCTCTTCCCGTAAGTCTCTCCCCTCGTTTATTTTAACTAGTTGTTTTCAAAACGCATCCTTTTGCCAACTTTGATTTTCCTTTTATTATTACGGTTGAATCTGGTATTTGCAGGCTATTTTACCTGCTTTTTAATATTTTGCTTGGCTTATTAGTTGAATTAACACCTCTTTGTGACAAAATAAATGTACTTTAGTGATTGTCTTGTTCAAACGTCACTAGGTTGTATCACTGTTATCAAAAGTGTTCATTTTGCGTAATAGAGAAATTTATTTATATAAAATGGCAGGCTTCACAAAGGGGAAGGAATAACAAAGTGAAAAAAACACAGAACAGAGGAGAGTTTCAAAGATGTAAAAGAGACAGACACAATGGTAGAAAAAATATGAGATGAGTACTGTGGAAGCAGTGGAATATGACATACAGTGGGTGATGGTAGTTTGAATTGAGAGAAGTAATATTGTATCGAGGAAATTTCTGACCTATGGCTATTGTCCCTTTATCAAGCTCTATTTTTGATTATAAATTGTAAATGTTCGTATTTTCGGTTATTATTAGTAATTTCCACTTTACCGATTCCGTTCACCTGTTTGTAAAGCAATGAGAACCGTATGCTTGGCCTCTGGCCTTATTTTATTTTTGTTAACTAAAATTCATTCTTTGATTTTATAGAGTACACCTTAATAATGGCAGTAGTCGGTATTTCATATCTTGTTCGAAGTTCAATTTCTTTCCAGACAGCTGTTATTTCTGCCATAATGTGTTTTTATTTCTTTGAAATCTTCAGAAATAGATTACAATTTTTTTTCACCTTCTTGTTGCCTACATTTATGTTGCATTTATTTATATCAAATGGCAGGCGTCTTGATGGTTATCATTAGCCCTTTAGTTGATTTCAGGTTTCACAGATTGAAGGAACATCAAATTGAAAAAAGTCGAGAGGGGGGGGGGAACAGAAGAGTGTTTCAAAGATATAAGAGACAAACACAAAGGTAGAAAAAAGGTGAGGTGAGTACTGTGGAAATATTCGAATATGACAAGCAGTCAGGGCATGGTAGTTTGAAGTCAGAAGTCAACTACCGATAAATAGACTTTTTTGCCGTATGAGTATGCGTTGCCCAGGATGCACCATGTGGAGGTAAGTCTATCGCACACCCCATATTTATGTTGTAATTTGAGGTTGTGATTTGTAATGCTTATTGTGTTTTGGCGCTTGTTTGCTTGTATAGTAAT